TTACTACCGTAATAAATGTAATTTCTAATGATAAATTTGCGTAAATTTTTGAAATAATCTTTTTGCGCTACTCTATGTCCAAAGGCCTTCTAAAAAAAATGAGAAATACTTAAAAAACGGTTGATTTGTATAATTTATTTATCGTTTTTTTTTTTGTAATTGTTTATACCCCCTCTTTTTTTATTTTCTAGTTTCTTTTTCTTATTTTGTAATTGATTTAATATCGATAATAATAAAAATAAAACGTGAATGTGGAGTTATATCATAATATCACTGTATTTGTCGAAGTAAGACTTTCAATAAAAACGTTTTAACATTGTTGTGTTTTACTTATTAAACTCACAAACAAATAAATACATTTTAAATTCATTATTGGATGAGACGTCAATGAGTACTAAAGTATGAGTTGCCAACAAAATAGGTAAGTCTTTTTTTAACTACTATTAGACGGGTTGCTATTGAGATCTCTATATTTGTTATTATTATATTATTATACAGAGTGTTTCTAAATTGATGCGAAATATTTTAAGGGGTGATTTTTCAGCAAAAATTAAGGGGTGTCTTTTATATAACTTTTAGTTCAAAACCCCTTTTCCTCTAAAGTTAAGGGAAAAAATCTGCAACTTCCTTATCTCTTGACATTTTACAACTAATAAATTGTTAGTTTGATCATAAAAAATAAAATAATGGTGAGATCAATTTGGCATAACTTCACTTCATACACTGAACCGCAAAATTAACGCACCACTCTGTTTGCTCTCAATTTGTTCATTATTACGCCTTTTGTATAGGATTTTTTAAGTAAATAAGGTTCACTTCTAAAATAAAAGTAGGCAATGTTTTTGAACTGTTTTACCAATTGATAAGATAACTGTCATTCGTGCTATACATAATGAAGCGTGCTAGACGAAATTTAAATCGTGATGAATGTGTTCAAATCGTAACTTTCTCCAATGAAGGACTAACAAATCGCGAACTTGGTAGAAGGTTTGGCGTGGCTCAAACAACGGTCAGTAGGGTTCTGCAGAGATTTATAGAGACCAACGATTATGCTAGACGATATGGCCAAGGCAAGCTACGAGCTATAAATGCGGTGGAGGATCGATTTTTAATGCTTCGTGCACTTAGGGAACGGTTCACTACTGCACGAAGATTCCAAATACAACTAATCGAGGTTCATGGCACTGCTGTTAGTCAAGATACCATAAAAAGAAGACTTCGTACTCAAAATTACGACCTCGGACTGCAGCTACTGGTCCCAAATTATCTGCAAACCACCGAAGAAACAGATTGGCTTCCGTAAGAAGGCACGTGGATTGGGAAATCCATCATTGGGAGCAGGTGTTATTTACGGATGAGTCATGGTTTTGCCTTGTAAGTTCTGATTGTCGTCCAAAAGTGTACAGAAGGCCAAATGAAAGATATTCCACATGTAACATTCAAGAATCCACATTATACCGAGGCGGTTCAGTGATGGTATGGGGTGGAATATCTTTAACAGCTCGCAGGGAACTTTTTATTCTTGATAGTGGGCATCTGAATTCTGAACGATACATAACAGACATTTTAGAACCTTTTGTGATACCTTTTGCACCTTACATCGGCGATGCTTTCATTCTAATGCAGGATAATGCGAGGCCACATGCGGCATATATTGTTACTGAATATTTAAATTATGTTAATATTCAAGTCCTCCACTGGCCAGCCTGTAGTGCAAACCTGAACCCAATCCAGCATCTTTGGGACATAATGGGACGGAGGATTAGAAGTCAGCATCCACCACCTAACAGCTTAGCCGAGCTGCGACAAAGTCTTATTCACGTATTGGAAGATATTCCTCAAGAAACCATCAGATCTCTAATTGAAAGTATGCCACGACGATGTCAGGATGCAATAACAGCCAGAGGTGGTACCACTTTTAGTTACTGACAACCTAAATACGGTTCAAAAGAAGTTCTTTGTATTCGTAACAATAATGATCATTTCAAGTTATTGTTATTATCGATATTCTTAATATGTTTTTCAAAATGTATGATAATTTTGACTTTAATTATAATAATTAATAAATCGAAATATATAAGTGGTGCGTTAATTTTGCGGTTAAGTGTATAGGTATATTATTATATTTGATCTCTATATCTCTCTATTTGAGAGCTAATCTCATATTTTGACGTTTGTGTACTAAGATTAAACCATAGCTAAGCTGATGAATACTTCTCATTTATTTGTTATGTAGCAAACGCTTTATGGCTCCAAGCACGTTGTAATTTGCGCACATTGCCATGTGTTATCAATTCCACTCCAATTACATTGCCTTCATTTCAAGACCGTTTCCTCATTGAACTCTAACAAAGTGCTGTTCGACGGTCTCTGTCTTTCTTTTTCAAGTCAAATATTTTTAATGTTTAAGTTTCTCCTTGTCAATATAATCTTGGTTCTTTATGGGTGAACAGTAACTCATAAATAGTTTACGGGCTGCGAGTTTAATGTCATACTTACTTGGTGAAGATGAGGATACGTAGAATTCCTTCTTCTAAAGTTAGCCAAATGATTAACAATTTAATTACAAACTCCTACTGAATACAAGACGATGGCGGTATGATGGAATTTAATTCCACATATAATTCCATATGATCCCACTTCATCAGTTGATAGCTCATCATCGCCTTATTTATTTTCTGGATAAATGTAAGTGATGTTGCTTTCTTTTCCCAGTTTCTTACTTTCTTTCCAACAACAAGCATCAGTGAACAAAAGTATCGAGACTCTGTAAATATTTACATCAGAATGAAACAAGGTGAGTTAAGTATCCAAGTCTATCCATACAAAGGAGATCATGATTTGTACTTATATAGCCAAACTTAACCAATACATGCCAAATTTTTTATATACGCAAGTAAGGCAAAACAGTTGTTGGTAATTAGAGAAAACATACATGAAGATAATGAAGGTAAAAAGAAGTTGTAAAGAAAGAAATTAAAGCAGAAAGAGTGGGATGTTAATGAAAACATAAATCTTTTGTCTGAAATTACGCTTCTAATGAAATTCTATGTATTTAATAATCGACAATCGAGCTAAATCTAAGACTAAATCCGCTTTTCAAGACTTTTAGCTAATCCATCAGAACTAACGGGGAATAGAAGTACCCGCAATCATGTCACTCATTGAGATAAGCAGTGCATAATATAAATTCGAAAAGAGATAATTTGGCATAAGCCGAAAATAAATGAATACATTTGTGCTGATAATTGCACCAACGTTGTTGGTTTATGGTAGCTACCACTTAATAAGATGTGGTTCAAAGTAGCACAAAGTTTACCCAACATTGCAGTTCTTCCTGAGATCTATAAGACGAATTTGAAAGCTGCGCTACATGTTTTATTATTTTCACTTATCAGAAACATCAGAAATTAATTTTCTTGGAGTCTGTACGAAAATATCTAATACATGGATGCAAATTCCATGGATAGTTCACTAAGTTGCTGGACCTAAGCCACATCTTCACTTTTCTCAATGTGCTAACACTTTTTTTAACAGAACAAAACGCTTACAGAAAAGCTAGAAAAGTAATAATTACCTCAGTTAGTGTTAGTAAAAATCTGTATCTGATATTTACGCAAAATCTGCTCGATTTTGCTTTCCTTGCCAATATTGTAACCATGTTATCTTCTTCACAAATATTTTAGCCAGGTTGTAGTTTAGTCACAGAATATCTTGGATTCACGGTTATTACAAAAATGTTGATTGCAACAAGCTTACAGTGAAAGCTGGTGTATTATTTTATTTGAATTTGACTTTTTTTATCGCGGCTATTTCACTAATTTCTTTATACATGCTTATAAAATAAATTTCGTGAAGGTTTTTGCGTTTTTTAAGAACTGCTTTCTATACCTATGCGTCTTAATGCCAGGAAAATTTAAACTAATACCTTAAAGAGCTCTATCTTCGAACTGTACTTTGTTATTATGGCAAAAATGAAGGTTGATTACGCGATTGTCAAATATAGTTGGTAAACTTTTATTTCTATAGATGCATTTATATTCTGGTTTTGCAATTTCCGTAAAAAATTCGAATAGTTTTATATATTGCAGAGTTAATACATCTTCTTAATACTTGAATAACAATTTTGAAGTTCCGAAACTGAGCATAAGTTATTAATAACTAAATTCAATCTGTTTGATGCGTAATGGAAGACTTTGCCTTGGAGTATTTCAAAAATTACTGAATCAGTAAATGATCTTATTCTATCATCTAGTACCAGTTCTTACGAGGAGCAACCTAAGCTGAAGTTGTCGCATGTTAACGAAATGAAGCTTCCAGTACTAGTTTTGCAACCGAGAAAATTTGTAACTTATTTGCCATGTGCAAATTAAACTTCTGACTTTTTTTAAACGTTTGCTCTAAAATAAAAATAAGTGCAATATAGTTACATACTTAACTTCTAGATGGTAGATTACTTCTTTTATGGTCTCATTGGAGACATAAAAGCTTTGTTTTGAAAATGTGGCAGGATTGCTATGTTGGAAGCACTGGCAGAACCCCATAGCTGAATCGCAGCTGGACAATCAGTGTGGACCGTACCTCCACACTGATTTCAGCATGCCTTTGTAGTCCAATGTTCCAGTACATTTTGTGTAGCTTTATAACTAGTTGCTTGCGTTTGGAGAAACTATTTTTTCCATGCGAGGTGTCCATCGCGATGCATATCTAGATATTTGACATCTTCTTATGGTCGTTGACATGAGAATAAATTTCTCTACGCGTAAAGGTGATATGTTTGGATTTAAGTTCATCGACTCTGATCAACTCTTGAATTATCGGATTTCTAGGGGCAGATATTGCGTCAATGTGAGATGTTAAGACTGTGGTGTCATCAGCATATATTGCAACAGTGGTACTTTTCGTTGTTGGGCATCTAACATACACAATAGAAACATACTGGGTAAAAGTTTAAGATTGAATAATTTTAGATAATTTTAAAGTAGTAAACAATAACATCATTTTCATTATAAAATAATATTTATTTGTTTCTATTCCTAATGATTATATATTTAAACTAAATATATTCCTTATCATAAAAATGCATCACCACATCCCGTACCCGTTCTTTATAACCATCATTTTTCGGTTCAAAACTCATTTTCTCCACTACATTCATTGCTTCGGAAAGATCATTGTATTCGGGGATTTCTTCAGCTTCCGTCGTCATCATCCTAATTAGAAATAGCGCAACGTTTAACCCATTGACGCAATACTTTTTCCAATGCGCATCGAATACCGATTTTGGATACAATTCGTTGGGATCGCTTCCAAGTTGTTTTATAGTTGCAGTTAATTCATCGTAATAAATGTTTCGGTAATATTCGATGTTGTCTAATTCCGATTTTGAACTTGATGTATAAAAAAAGTGACTAAAATCGGTCACCGGAGATCCATAACGAATTATTTGGTAATCGATGAAACGAATTTCGGTAGGTTTTAAATTGTTTTTGGGATCCTAGAAACAAAAAAACTTATCTACCAAATATGACATCATTTTTAATGATATAATAGTTTGTTTTTATTAGAATATCTCAAGGCTAAACTAATAATCTTAAACAAATACTTACACCGTATTTATACATCATATTGTTACACCAACAATCTCCATGACCGATAACTCCGTATTCATCCATATTTCTACTCGCAAATTTTGTAGTAAAATCTGGCATTGTTTTGATATAATCCTTAAATTTATTTACATATTTTTCATCTTTTATTGGGTCAAAAAAGTTAACCGTATTTTCGGCAAGTTTATTAAAAACTTCGAGATGCAAATCGTTTCGTGAAAAATCCTCGAAAATATCAACAATTTTCGATCGGAATCCATCAAACATTTCCCTCCTTTGATCTTTAAAAGCGAAACTTACTCCGTGTAATTTAGCGTACGCTTTTAAAGTGAATTCGATGTGATTTGCGTCCATCGGTACCATCCGGTTCCAAAGTTTGTAACCTTGGTCTTTCAAATTCTCCAAAACGAGCGCCTCTTTGTTACTTTCTAATGTCGTCGCGTAACATTTCGGAGCAAAATCGAATAAATTTAAACCTTTTTCCTTTTGAAAGGCGCAATAAGCCGGATAAATCTCTTCGTAAAACAATACTTCGTTTTTGTACACGTTTTCGATGTGGGTTTGTTCTCGAAATATTTGATTTTCTGGTGATATTTTTGTTATTACACTTAGAACTTCTTGGTTTTGGTCGTTTTTAATTTTTGCGTCGTAGATTACACTTAAATAACCGTCGCCTTTTTTCATTGAATAAGTTATTTCGTATTGAGGATTTGATATGTTTTCATTTTTTGATACTGTGTTTAATAGAGGAATTATGTTTTCGTTATTTGTGTTAGTCATTATTGGATAATGTTGTCTTTATAATAGAGCGACAAAGAACTAAGGCTTGAATAGTTATTGGAGTATATATAGCAGTCTAAATTAGGTGGGGATATATGAATAATACAAAGAGATAGAGATGAAGAAACTAGAAAATTAATATAAGGTTCGATCCCTGGAGAAAAAAACGAAAATTCAAAAAAGAAGTTATTACTTGGTATAAAGCTAAAAGACTCTATTTTATGACTAGATTAAAAAAATACAGGGTTTAATAAGAAAAATCCCTGGAAAAAAATTTTTGAAGAAAAAGTTGCAAGTCTTGGTTATGTTGGAAAATGTCCGAAAAACAAGAAATTTCAAAAAATTGCCTTGAAGTTATTACTAGGTGTAAAGAGATGATTTATATCGCAAATTAAAGTTAAAGGACTCTATTTTAGGACTAGATTAAAAAAAGGTAGAGTTTAATAAGAAAAATCCCTGGAAAAAAATTCTTGAAGAAAAACTTGCAAGTCTAGGTTATGTTGGAAAGTGTCCAAAAAACAAGAAATTTCAAAAAATCGCCTTGAAGTTATTACTAGGTGTAAAGAGATGGTTTATGTCGCAAATTAAAGCTAAAGGACTCTATTTTATGACTAGATTAAGAAAAAGTAGGGTTTAATAAGAAAAATCACTGGAAAAAAATTCTTGAAGATAAAGTTGCAAATCTAGGTTATGTTGNAGGTTCGATCCCTGGAAAAAAAACGAAAATTCAAAAAAGAAGTTATTACTTGGCATAAAGCTAAAAGACTCTATTTTATGACTAAATTAAAAAATGCAGGGTTTAATAAGAAAAATCACTGGAAAAAATATTTTGAAGAAAAAGTTGTAAGTCTTGGTTATGTTGGAAAATGTCCGAAAAACAAGAAATTTCAAAAAATCGCCTTGAAGTTATTACTAGGTGTAAAGAGATGATTTATATCGCAAATTAAAGCTAAAGGACTCTATTTTATGACTAGATTAAAAAATATAGGGTTTAATAAGAAAAATCCCTGGAAAAAAATTCTTGAAGAAAAAGTTGCAAGTCTAGGTTATGTTGGAAAGTGTCCGAAATACAAGAAATTTTAAAAAATCGCCTTGAAATTATTACTGGGTGTAAAGAGATGGTTTATGTCGCAAATTAAAGCTAAAGGACTCTATTTTATGACTAGATTAAGAAAAAGTAGGGTTTAATAAGAAAAATCACTGGAAAAAAATTCTTGAAGATAAAGTTGCAAATCTAGGTTATGTTGAAAAGTGTCCAAAAAATTTCAAAAAATCGCCTTGAAGTTATTACTAGGTGCACAGAGATGGTTTATGTCGCAAATTAAAGCTAAAGGACTCTATTTTATGACTAGATTAAGAAAGAGTAGGGTTTAATAAGAAAAATTCCTGGAAAAAAATTCTTGAAGAAAAACTTGCAAGTCTAGGTTATGTTGGAAATTGTCCGAAAAGCAAGAAATTTTAAAAAATCGCCTTGAAGTTATTATTAGGTGTAAAGAGATGGTTTATGTCGCAAATTAAAGCTAAAGGACTCTATTTTATGACTAGATTAAGAAAAAGTAGGGTTTAATAAGAAAAATCATTGGAAAAAAATTCTTGAAGAAAAACTTGCAAGTCTAGGTTATGTTGGAAATTGTCCGAAAAGCAAGAAATTTTAAAAAATCGCCTTGAAGTTATTACAAGGTGTAAAAAGATGGTTTATATCGCAAATTATAGCTAAAAGACTCTATTTTATGACTAGATTAAAAAAATGTAGGGTTTAATAAGAAAAGTTCCTGGAAAAAAATTCTTGAAGAAAAAGTTGCAAGTCTAGGTTATGTTGGAAATTGTCCGAAAAGCAAGAAATTTTAAAAAACCGCCTTGAAGTTATTATTAGGTGTAAAGAGATGGTTTATGTCGCAAATTATAGCTAAAAGACTCTATTTTATGACTAGATTAAGAAAAAGTAGGATTTAATAAGAAAAATCCCTGAAAAAATATTCTTGAAGAACATGTTGCTGATCTAGACTGTTGGAAAGTGTCCATAAAACAAGAAATTTCAAAAAATCGCCTTGAAGTTATTACTAGGTGTAAAGAGATGATTTATATCGCAAATTAAAGCTAAAAGACTCTATTTTATGACTAGATTACAAAAATATAGAGTTTAATAAGAAAAATCTCTGGAAAAAATTCTTGAAGAAAAAGTTGCAAGTCTAGGTTATGTTGGAAATTGTCCGAAAAACAAGAAATTTTAAAAAATCACCTTGAAGGTATTACTAGGTGTAAAGAGATGGTTTATGTCGCAAATTATAGCTAAAAGACTCTATTTTATGACTAGATTAAAAAAATATAGAGTTTAATAAGAAAAATCCCTGGAAATAAATTCTTGAAGTAAAAGTTGCAAGTCTAGGTTATGTTGGAAATTGTCCGAAAAGCAAGAAATTTTAAAAAATCGCCTTGAAGTTATTATTAGGTGTAAAGAGATGGTTTATGTCGCAAATTATAGCTAAAAGACTCTATTTTATGACTAGATTAAAAAAATATAGAGTTTAATAAGAAAAATCTCTGGAAACAAATTCTTGAAGAAAAAGTTGCAAGTCTAGGTTATGTTGGAAATTGTCCGAAAAGCAAGAAATTTTAAAAAATCGACTTGAAGTTATTGCTAGGTGTAAAGAGATGGTTTATGTCGCAAATTATAGCTAAAAGACTCTATATTATGACTAGATTAAAAAAATGTAGGGTTTAATAAGAAAAATCACTGGAAAAAAATTCTTGAAGAAAATGTTGGAAGTATAAGTTATGTTGGAACGCGTCCGAAAAACAAGAAATTTAAAGAAATCACCTTGAAGTCATTACTAGGTGCACAGAGATGATTTATGTCACAAATTAAAGCTAAAGGACTCTATTTTATGACTAGATTAAAAAAATATAGAGTTTAATAAGAAAAATCTCTGGAAAAAAATTCTTGCAGAAAAAGTTGCAAGTCCAGGTTATGTTGGAAATTGTCCGAAAAGCAAGAAATTTTAAAAAATCGCCTTGAAGTTATTACTAGGTGTAAAAAGATGGTTTATGTCGCAAATTATAGCTAAAAGGCTCTATTTTAAGACTAGATTAAAAAATGTAGGGTTTAATAAGAAAAATCCCTGGAAAAAAATTCTTGAAGAAAAAGTTGCAAGTCTAGGTTATGTTGGAAATTGTCCGAAAAGCAAGAAATTTTAAAAAATCGCCTTGAAGTTATTACTGGGTGTAAAGAGATGGTTTATGTCGCAAATTATAGCTAAAAGACTCTATTTTATGACTAGATTAAAAAAATGTGGGGTTTAATAAGAAATATCCCTGGAAAAAAATTGTTGAAGAAAATGTTGCTAATTTAGACTATGTTGGACCGCGTCCGAAAAACAAGAAATTTCCAAAAATCACCTTAAAGTTATTACTAGGTGTAAAGAGTTGTTTTATGTCGCAAATTAAAGCTAAAAGACTCTATTTTATGACTAGATTAAAAAAAATATAGAGTTTAATAAGAAAAATCTCTGGAAAAAAATTCTTGAAGAAAAAGTTGCATGTCTAGGTTATGTTGGAAATTGTCCGAAAAGCAAGAAATTTTAAATAATCACCTTAAAGTTATTACTAGGTGCAAAGAGATGGTTAATGTCGCAAATTAAAGCTAAACTACTCTATTTTAAGACAAGATTAAAAAAAGGTGGGGTTTAATAAGAAAAATCCCTGGAAAAAAATTCTTGATGAAAATGTTGTTAATCTAGACTATGTTGGAACACGTCCGAAAAACAAGAAATTTCAAAAAATCACCTTAAAGTTATTACTAGGTGCAAAGAGATGGTTTATGTCGCAAATTAAAGCTAAAGGACTCTATTTTATGACTAGATTAAGAAAAAGTAGGGTTTAATAAGAAAAATCATTGGAAAAAAATTCTTGAAGAAAAACTTGCAAGTCTAGCTTATGTTGGAAATTGTCCGAAAAGCAAGAAATTTTAAAAAATCGCCTTGAAGTTATTACTAGGTGTAAAGAGATGGTTTATGTTGCAAATTAAAGCTAAAGGACTCTATTTTATGACTAGATTAAAAAAATGTTGGGTTTAATAAGCAAAATCTCTGGAAAAAAATTCTTGAAGAAAATGTTGCAAGTCTAGGTTATGTTGGAAATTGTCCGAAAAACAAGAAATTTTAAAAAATCGCCTTGAAGTTATTACTAGGTGTAAAGAGATGATTTATGTCGCAAATTATAGCAAAAAGACTCCATTTTATGACTAGATTAAAAAAATATAGGATTTAATAAGAAAAATCTATGGAAAAAAATTCTTCAAGAAAATGTTGCAAGTCTAGGTTATGTTGGAAATTGCCCGAAAAACAAGAAATTTTAAAAAATCGCCTTGAAGTTACTACTAGGTGTAAAGAGATGGTTTATGTCGCAAATTATAGCTAAAAGACTCTATTTTATGACTAGATTAAAAAAATGTAGGGTTTAATAAGATAAATCCCTGGAAAAAAATTGTTGAAGAAAATGTTGCTAAAAAAATCCCTGGAAAAAAATTCTTGAAGAAAACGCTGCTAATCTATACTATGTATGTTGGAATGCGTCCGAAAAACAAGAAATTTAAAGAAATCACCTTGAAGTTATTATTAGGTGCACAGAGATGGTTTATGTCACAAATTAAAGCTAAAAGACTATTTTATGACTAGAACAAAAAAAGGAGTATTTGATAAGAAAAATCCTCGGAAAAAAAATTCTTGAAGAAAAAGTTTCAAGTCTAGATTATATTGGAACGTGCTTGAAAACGAAAAGCTTAAAAAATTCGTGATATAATTTTACGAGGAGCGATTATGTCGCAAGTTAAAGCTAGAAGACTCAATTTTATGATTAAACTAGAAAATGTTNTGTTGGACCGCGTCCGAAAAACAAGAAATTTCCAAAAATCACCTTAAAGTTATTACTAGGTGTAAAGAGTTGTTTTATGTCGCAAATTAAAGCTAAAAGACTCTATTTTATGACTAGATTAAAAAAAATATAGAGTTTAATAAGAAAAATCTCTGGAAAAAAATTCTTGAAGAAAAAGTTGCATGTCTAGGTTATGTTGGAAATTGTCCGAAAAGCAAGAAATTTTAAATAATCACCTTAAAGTTATTACTAGGTGCAAAGAGATGGTTAATGTCGCAAATTAAAGCTAAACTACTCTATTTTAAGACAAGATTAAAAAAAGGTGGGGTTTAATAAGAAAAATCCCTGGAAAAAAATTCTTGATGAAAATGTTGTTAATCTAGACTATGTTGGAACACGTCCGAAAAACAAGAAATTTCAAAAAATCACCTTAAAGTTATTACTAGGTGCAAAGAGATGGTTTATGTCGCAAATTAAAGCTAAAGGACTCTATTTTATGACTAGATTAAGAAAAATTAGGGTATAATAAGAAAAATCCCTGGAAAAGAATTCTTGAAGAAAACGTTGTTAATCTATACTATGTTGGAATGCGTCCGAAAAACAAGAAATTTAAAGAAATCACCTTGAAGTTATTATTAGGTGCACAGAGTTGGTTTATGTCACAAATTAAAGCTAAAAGACTATTTTATGACTAGAACAAAAAAAGGAGTATTTGATAAGAAAAATCCTTGGAAAAAAAATTCTTGAAGAAAAAATTGCAAGTCTAGATTATATTGGAACGTCCTTGAAAACGAAAAGCTTAAAAAATTCGTGATATAATTTTACGAGGAGCGATTATGTCGCAAGTTAAAGCTAGAAGACTCAATTTTATGATTAAACTAGAAAATGTTGTATGTAATAAAAAATCACCTTGAAATTATTATTAGATGTTAAGCGATGTTTTGGAGATGTTACAAACTTAATTTCATACAATACTTAAGCTTTAAACAAGATGTAAAGGAGTAAATTGAACATATAGAAACAGCGTAATCTCAGAATAAGGAATAAAGAGATGGTGAGTTGGATGGGGTGTTCCAAAAACGAAAATTCTCTCTAAATTCGTTTCCGGCTTGTATTCCCACGTCGCCGCGCGAACTTTTCAACACGAAAAGTTCCCAATTGGTGTAGAAAATGGGACGAGTTCGCGCTGGTTTAGCACGAACCTGACGGCGTCGTGTTGTGCGACCACATTAGTAAATTACCTGGAAACTGAACGAATTGGAGTGCTTCGGGCGACTCTATCGGTTTCCGGTTCACGTAATGTTGCGATGGTTTTAAGTGGAAAAATAAACATTTTCTGGGTAGTAATAAAAGTAAACTGGTGTTGTATTTTAACATAAAACGAGATACCAAAAAGCTATTTTCCAAATAGACATAATCTATGAAATATATCACAAAAAAGTTTGGGACCAAAAAGTTTTAACTTGAAATTCCCTTATTTAATGAAATAAATTAGCTCTTCTTGTTCACCTTATTAACCCTCATCATCATTCTTTAAACCGGTCCAAAAGAATAATAATCACTTCCACGAAATGGAAACCCCTTTTTTCTTTAATTATTTCAGCTTCTGTAGGCAAGAACAATGAAGGAGGAGAGCTTTTAAAATTTAAATCCACACCAATTATTCAAATTAACCGTTTATTTTAAAATCATCTCTAATAAACTGGAGTGGCCTACACTAAACTTACTCTCTTTTTATTTATAATTTGAAACAATTTGCATCAAAATTTATTTTAAAACTACCGCGCTTCTTTTTAACTTAATATTTAATTAATAGATGGTGCCTCTTTCGTTAATCTTTCTCAACCCCTATAAAAAAACGAGAAAGTTGCGTGTAGACCACTCTACATTTTTTAAATTACTGCACAAACGATTTTCTTCTTTGACGCCCTTCTCTTAACTTTAAAGGAAGTGATTATAACTTTAAAGGACGTCCTCCGTTTTGGCGAGTTTCCGGAAACAATTTCAGAACTTCCTCAAAGGGGGTATTGGATTACAAAGCGAAATTGTCCGTAATTAGATGTATTTATTACAAAAGTTCCCCCTTCATTGCAATAAAACATCCTGAAATTAAACCAGAAAATGAAAAAAAATAAAAAAAATCATCTGCCATCTATGAGTGAAAAGCTTAAACTACGATAACAACATTTAAGATGACAATTTAAGTGACAGTTAACAATGACGTTTCGTTATTCGTACACGTTAACTCCTTATGATTTTTAAGCATCAAGATATTGATTTTGATATTCTCATTTTTAAGCTTAAAAATGAGTGATGTTAAATGGAAATCGTCGAAACAACGGGGACCATGGTCGATAACGAACCAAAATCAGGCGAAAAAATCCGCGGATAATCATAACCTGAAAAAATCCGAACTAAAATTTAAAGAGGCTACAACAAAATTTCAAGCGGCCGCTGAAAAACACGCGAAAGATTACGATTCTTCATCAGAAGAGGAAGATTTGGAATCAAAAAATGTTATAGGTAAATTATTTTTAACAGTTAAAACAATCTAACCTCAAAATTTTTATTTTAACATCTAGATGGCATCTTTAAATTTTACACCCAAAAAGGTCAAGAAATTGAAAATTTGGGGAGGACTAAAGGATATGTTGAAGATTCATTTATATCGGGGGCAATTACCTGTCTTATTTGCATATCCAGTGTGAAACGAAACGATGAGGTAAAAATATTTTATAAAAATCAAGTTATTTATTTATCTTTATACCAAAAAAAAAATTCAAGAATCATCATGTGGCTTAAAAATCGATGATTTTTTTTCATCAATTTGAAATGACTCAAAAAAACACGTTAAAAAGAAAAAAAATGTATAACATATTGAAAAGTCACATTAAACTTTTGCTGTGACGTCACAAACAATGTTAACCATGCATTTTCCTATTAAATCTAACCTACAAGTTAACACCTAACTTACAAATTGTTTATTTTATAGCAAGGCGCAAAATCAATCTGGTAAACTTAAAAGTTATTTTAACTAAAGTACTATCCCTGCAAAAAGTCAAGGCCCCTCAGTTTAGAGATCAATATCTTCGCAACCGCTCCATAAAAAAAATTGTGACAAAGTTTATTGTAATCACTGAACATTTCTACGCAACATGTAGTAATTTGAAAATTTTTGGATTCACGGTTTTCTTTTTATCGCGAGTTAAATGAAAAAAGTACCCGATTTTTTATGGTACTGGCAACTTTGTCAACTTTACGATTTTTTTTTCTCGAAAGCTACTCGTACGAAAAATTTTGAATTTTGAACAGGTTGTAGTCTCATGTGTTCTTAATGAGTGGCATATTTTATTTTTTCGATATTCCATACAGTTTCGCGGAAAATCGCGGTTTAGTAAGACGCCGTTATGTCGAAAACGGCTGGGTGGGTTTCCTCGCAGATTTGACCAAAATATGTCAAATAATGTCGGTTGTCGGATTCCNATATGTTGAAGATTCATTTATATCGGGGGCAATTACCTGTCTTATTTGCATATCCAGTGTGAAACGAAACGATGAGGTAAAAATATTTCATAAAAATTTAGTAATTTATTTACCTTCATACAAAAAAAAATCAAGAATCATTATGTGGCTTAAAAATCGATGATTTTTTTTTAATCAATATGAAATGACCCAAAAAAACAAGTTAAAAATAAAAAGAAAGTGTAGAACATAGCGAAAAATCACATTAAAATTTCGATGTGACCTCACAAACAATGTTAACCATGCATTTTCCTATTAAACCTAACCTACAAGTCAATACCTAACCTACAAATTGTTTATTTTATAGCCGGGCGCAACATCAATCTGATTAACTTAAAAGTAAAGTTATTTTCACTAAACTAGGTGAGATTACAACGTATATTTACAGATGAAACACCCTTGTTTTCCTTATGTTTTTGATCCATAACGACTGACTACCTGTCGTCAGATAGACTGTGTGTGGCGTTGCACACACTATTTTGATGAATTATAGACTACATTTTGGTTGTCAAAATTGTCAACAAAGATATACAGGTGTCCCGAACTTATCTATACACAAAATTGCTTAGTTTAGCCACTAGAGGGCGGTAAACATTCATGATGAATCAAAGATAAAACGCAAAACAAAAAATACGAATACCGCTGTCAAGTTTAAGTGACAAACTGTTTTTGTTTTTAAAATTAATTATACCTAGCCAACTATTAAAAAAAAGCGTTATTAGTGTTACCTTATATCACTCATTCGCGCTTGTGGAGATGTAGAAAATATTTTTTTGTGGCTAAACCATTCACCCAACTGAAATTTTTTAAGAGAGAAAATAATAGTTTCTAAATTAAAGTAGCTACTCAGAAAAAAAGAATGGTAGTGTTTGTAAAGGGGGTTAAAAAGATATGGATGCATAATTTATTGTGACAAAGTTTTTAAGCACCCTATAATTTTCGAAATTAGAGTTTATTCCACAAATAACTGTAGTTTACTGATACAAACGCATGACCAAAAAATGAATAAAATCCATTGAGGATTTTTCGACTTATTTAAAAAAATATATTATTTTTAAAGCCCTCTAGCGGCTAAACTAAGCAATTTTGTATATAGATAAGTTGAGTTAAATAATCATATTTTTTTGTCAAAGTACTTGTGATCTTGCGTTGTACACGTCATTTTCGGACACCTGTAGATCACGTTCTAATTCTAGAAATCGTACAAATCAAGATCAATCTTCTTCTTCACTTTGTTATTACCACTATAGATTCAGATAACAATTATTCACAAAATAATAGCTCTTCTCGTTTATTTATTTATGATCGCTACAATAAACTACATTTTTTAATTGATACAGGAGCTGATATATCGGTCATACCTCGTAACATTTTTCCAATCCAACCCAACAATTATTATACATCATTTTAAAGAGAAAGCTTTGAGCTTTAATTTAGAACAAGTCTCATTCCTTAATTTCAATAAATACGGCTTCCAGGAATTTTTAAATTAGCATCTTTTTTGACACGTTTAGGTTATACGAAAATGTAAGTTTTGTTTCAACATTTTTTTTCTCAATANGGGTTCCGTCCAATCGGAACAGATGATGCGTCCCAGACAGGACGTCGCGCCTTATTTCTTTATGTAGGTAAGATAAAGGCGCGACGTACTGTCTGGGACGCACCATCTGTTCCGATTGGACGGACCCTCCTCTCCTCGCATAGCTTATTTCTGTTTCTCTTCAATTTGTCTTTCCATTAAATCGCTCTTAAAAAATTAGGGTGCCCTAATTTTGAAAAACTGATAACGGAATCCGACAACTGACATCATTTGACATATTTTGGTAAAAACATTAAGAACAGATCGGTTTACCACCAGTTCAAATTTGAAATTTTTTCATCAAATAGTTTTGGAGAAGAAAAATCGCAAAGTAGACAAAGTTGCTGGCACTCTCAAAAATCGGGTACTTTTTTCACTTAACTCGCGATAAAAGAAAAACCGCGGAACCGAAAAGTTCCATATTAACATGTGATACGCAGAAACGTTCACTGATTACAATAAACTTTACCGCATTTTTTTCCATCGAGCGGTTACAAAGATATCGATCTCTAAAGTGAGGGGCCTTGACTTTTTGCATAGTAGGTGAGATTACAACATATATGTACAGGGTGGGCAAATTTGGGTGTTAATATAGGCTATCTCAGAAACTATAGAGATACAAAAAAAGTAGGTGCCATGTCCCGGTCTCTTTTTCCGAAACTAATCCAATCCCGTAAAGACCAAATCTCTATCTTCTTTTGTTTTTAAGTTATAGCCAAAAAGTCAAATTTTAGTGATTTCAAAAAATGCTCATATTTCGTTTATTTTTGAAATTAGAGAAATGGGGTTAATGCATTCTTAAGACACTTTTTTGAGTAGAATATACTGCCGTTGAAAAATTTTTAACATAGCTGATAATTTTTGAGATATAACATAAAGTTGTATTTTTTTAAATACAAACTATACTTTATTGTGATATTACTGAAAAGAGCATATTTTTAGCTTTCCAATGATGTATCGCACGCATGATGTTTCTGCGGAAAATAAGCGTTATTTTTCAATTTTTAAAATATTAAAGATTAAAATTCAAATTTTTAATTATAGTAGGCGAGGAAAACGCTAAATACTACTTAGTTACTATAGCAACGTGAGTTTACTTGTCATTTCATTCATGAATTTTGCGAAACGAGTTTCCCGTTTAAGAAGTTCCGCATTATCTTTAAATAAAACGATAAAATTAAATATAGAATATATTGGAGTCCGCTTTGAAGATGATACATAAGTCTTCATATCCCCATTCAAACGGTGTTTCAATGGAAAGTCCGCTCCCAGTTTATGATTCCTAATTTTCCTCTATCTCACCCAATTTCAAAAGAAAAGATTGCTGATATCAAAAAACTTCTACATCTTATGTTTGGGGAAAACTGGGAAAATACTACCGAAGATTTCATTCATTGATACCGAACTGTTCTAATCTTACAACCAGTAAGTTGAGTAGAAGAAGATGACAGTTTATGACTGTTTAGTTCCTGAAGTTGTCCATATTTAATTATTCATTAATTAATACATTTCTTGTATTTTTAATAAACAAACTTTAAATGCTAATCATTTTTTATTGGTAAACAAAGTCAGGGATAAGATGCTGAGAAATTTAAATTAACTATTCAAAGTTTTTATTCGTTGGTACAAAACCAACTTATCCTGAATAATGGTACAAAACCAACTTTATTCTGTCATATTCGTGCAAAACCATATATTATAGCCACTAGGTAGTATTTACTGTCCGGACACGCCTACTATAATCAAAATTTTGAACATTAGCGCTTACTATTTTCGAATTGAAAATTAACGCTTATTTTCTGCAAATACACCATACATGCGATACATCATTGGAAAGCTAAAAATATGCTCTTTTCTTTAACATCATAATCAAGTATAGTTTGTATTTAAAAAAACACAACTTTGTGTTATATCTCAAAAATCATCAAGTATATTTAAAACTTTTCAACGGCAGTATATTCTACTTAAAAAAGTGTCTTAAGAACGTATCAACCCCATTTCTCTAATTTCAAAAATAAACGAAATATGAGCATTTTTTAAAATCACGAAAATTTGACTTTTTGGCTATAACTTAAAAACAAAAGAAGATAGAGGTTTGATGTTTGCGGAATTGAATTAGTCTCGAAAAAAGAGACCGGGACATGGCACCTACTTTTTTCGTATCTCTTATAGTTTCTGAGATAGCCTATAATAACACCCAAATTTGCCCACCCTGTACAGATGAAACACCCTTGTTTTCTTAGATTTTCGATGCATAACGACTGACTACCTGTCGTCACATAGACTGTGTGTCAATAGACTCTGTGTTAATACTAAAACTAACACTAGACCGAACACTAGAAATATTCGGTTTTAGTCGTACGTCTCTCAAGACAGCTAAATCCGAATGATTCTAGGTCTTGTGTTAGTTTTAGTGATAGTGCTAGTGTAAAACTAGGACTAACACTAGACCTAGAGCTAGAAAGTATCGGATGTTTCTATTTTTAATAGTTCTAGGTCTTGTGTTAGTTCAATAAAAATGTACAACATAGTGATATCTTATGTTAACTAGTGCTGCTTAACACTGTCACTAGAGCTAACATAGAAAACTAGAAACATTCAGGTTTAGCCTTCTTGAGAGGCGCACTGCTAAACCCGAATGTTTCTGGTTTTAGGTCTAGTCTTAGTTCTACTTTTCTTTCAATAAAAATATACCACAATCTGACGCTAAATAATATTTAAAACTAGAAGTAATCCTAGAACTAGAATCATTCGGGTTTACCCGTCTTGAGAGACGTGGGGCTAAATCCCAATTTTTCTAGTTTTCGGTCTAGTATTAGTTCTAGTTTTCCACTAAAACTAATACAAGACCTAGAACTAGAAACATTCGGGTTTAGCGACACGTCTCTCAAGACGGCTAAACCCGAATGATTCTAATCTGTTCTAGTAACCCTAGAACTAGAATCATTCGGGTTTACCCGTCCTGAGAGATGTGGGGTTAAATCCCAATTTTTTTTTACATAAATCGTCATCATTTTTACTCTAGTACATGTCGTTACATTTGTTCCCCGAGTCACCGAAACACTCTGTACATGGTAAACAACGACATTTTAGTCGTTAAGCGTCGAAAACCTAAGAAACAACCGTATTTCACCCGAAAATATGCGTTTTAACCAAATGTGTTATGAAAATATATGAGCTTTGTTCGTTGGGACTGCACTACTTGCACTAAGCAGTTTAGTGCAGATGTTGTGTGTTCGTTGGGGATAGTGTACTTTAGTGCAGTTGCACTCATACTGTTCGTTGGGCCATGCGCAGTATAATTTCGTGCAAGTTAGTGCAGATTTTGTTGAACCTGCTTTCGGTTAAGTTCAACAGGTGCAGTGTAACTCAGTGTAACTACAATGGCGGAATATTTGGAAAAAATCAAATTAAAATCAATTATTTATGAATATCACCATGTCCAAATTATTTTATTTTTACCTCTGTGCAATAATTTCTTATGGTTGTCCTCGCGTGCTTGACAACGCTATAAGATTATTATTATTAATTGATCCTACATCACTGTCGGATGAATCGCTACTAAAAAAACATTTTGCGATGATTTCATCATTTTCCGCGACTATTTTGCTGATAATCTCCTGTTCGTCCATTTCAAATACTGTTATACACTTTCTTGATAAAAACGTGTTCGTTGCGACCACGCTTTGCACACTTTTCTACCCTGCACTCAGTTGACATAACCTTGCACTTACTTAAGGTGAATTTAGACATACATGGATTTAGTGGCGCCAGTTCTATTTACACGCCAGTAAACGTTTACACTACATGTGGGAAAACAAAAATAAGTGACACGCCAGTTTCATTTTTAAAGTGTATTAAAGTGTACAGAGTGCAATATGTCGAGTGAACTTTTCGAAGCATGGAAAATAATCGCTAAACTTTTAGTGTGATTTCAGAAGGATGCAGACTTTTCTGATCCATGCATGCATGATTTCAACTTGCATGCCAGTAGATGTTTACACATGCAATTTAATTTTACTGGCGCGCCATTTTTTAATGGCGCCACTTAATCTATGCATGTCTACTCACTATTACTCTAAATTGCACTAAGACGTCATACTAGTGCCATGTCGTGCAGAGTAGGGAAAACCCAACGAACAAAGCTATGGCTAGCACAGTCGATGACGTCACAAAAAGTGACGTCACGTCGAAACTTTAAAGAAATTTTTCGGTAAGTTTTACACTTCTTCGCACTTTGTTTTTATTTGTACACGGCTTACTTGAGTGATTTGCCGTCGATTAAAAAAAAAATTGTCGATTTTTGAACGACATGATGATTCTTGAATTATACCAAAAATATGTTTTAGATTTGGAATTGTTCCGAATGTTACTGCTCATTTCATCTTGAATGTATACAACGTTGGTCAAAAGATAGTATTGTTCAAAAGAAAAACGTTTTAGAAGGTCAAATAATAACTAAACAAATAAAATTAGTATGGTGTTGCCCAAAATGTCGACGTGAATATCTCCCAGAAGACACCCCAACACACTACACATGTTTCTGTACGAAAACGATCAATCCAAAATTTCAATCACTTCTAATTCCACATTCTTGCGGGGAAAAATGCGGAAAACAACTCAAACCGATTTGTGGGCATGAATGTTTATTGTTATGCCACCCCGGACCATGTCCACCATGCCCAATAACAATCTCATCAAAGTGTTATTGTGGATCAAATCCTCCAAAATTACAAAGATGTTGCAATAAAGAATGGTCCTGTGGATCGAAATGTAATAAATTATTAACCTGCGATAAACACAAATGTTCGGAATTATGTCACGCTGGAGATTGTAAACCATGCCCAAAAAAAAGTATACAAAAATGTCTTTGTGGAACATCGCAAAAATTGAGGGATTGTTCAACTCCAATTTGGCAATGCGAGAAAATCTGTAATAAAGCGTTAACTTGTGGATTTCATAGTTGCCCGGAAATATGTCATTTTGGTGATTGTGGCGAATGTGAATTGTCGAAAGTTAGGACGTGTCCTTGTGGAAAATCGAATTATAATTTACCATGTACTGAAGAAACTCCTACTTGTGAAGATACTTGTGGGAAATTGTTGGAATGCGAACAACATTTTTGTAATTATAAATGTCATAAAGATAAATGTGGATCTGTAAGTATAATTGTTGTTATAAGAAACGTGAATGATTCATCGCTTTAAACTCTATGATGATTTGGAAGTAATACACATAGTGTATATGTGTGTGGCTGTGCTTAAAAATTATCCCCACACAATCTACACATCCGCATTTTTACACCTAAATCGCGCAATCATACATTTTTTCATACCTCTACCCTCCTCCATTAAATACAACGGAATTTTCTCCGTCATTAAGACGTTGCACTTATTATTGTTGTATTGGGAAGATTCCTTTTCCACCTGAGCAACCCCAAAACCCACCTCCAATATTTTCTCCACCATCTTGTGTTGAGATTGTAATGATAAATGATATAAAATAAAGCAGAATAGACTAAAACCCGCTTTTTAAAGTCTCAAGTAAAGGTGAGTAACAAAATTGCTTGTATCTTCAGTGTTCGACTTATACTGTGTGGATTTGGAATTGTATGGAATGTGAATTATTTTTTTGACTACCCTTTGTTGGGTTATATTTTTTATTAAGCTTTCAATGGGATGTTGCTTTGATAGAACATAACAACTGAGTGGTGTTGTGTTGTATTTACATTGTCATTCAACCTACTTCGCTTTTGTTTATACAACTAAAACTGAAACTTAACACACCCCAGTAAACAAAAACCAAGTTTTACAAAACAATAACTTAAATTCTAACAACTAGTTTATCTCTGAATGTTTCAAATTTAACCCTTTCTAATGACTTAGTAAAAAGTCTGCTAAATTATCTTCACGATTGCAATGGATCAATTTAATTCTTTTTCACTAGACTATATCATGTATAAAATGAAAACGAATATGTTTAGTTTGTCTGTTTAAGATTTCATTATTGATCAAGTCTATAGCACTTCTATTGTCTATCAGCATTGTTGTTTGTATTACTTTACCAATCAACTTTTCCATAAAACTTTTGATATGTAGTACTTCCTTGCAGCATTCGGCCGCCGCAATATACTCTGCTTCTACGGTTGATAACGCAACAATTTTATCCTTTTTTTGGCTGTTTCTCACGTTGTCCAATTGATCAGTCCTTCGTTTAACATTATTACATAACCACTAACACTTGCGCGTATCTGTACAATTTGCATAGTCAGCATCTGTAAATACTAGTAATTTTAAATTTCTTATCCCAGTTTCAAGCGTATATTCGATTCCAAAATCGTTGTTTGTATGTAGATATTTTAATAATCTTTTTACATTAGTTATATCGCATCTTTTTGTATTTTTAACATATCTAGTAGCAAAGTTTACAGCGAAACTTTTGTCTGGTCTGGTTTTGTTAGTTAAGTATAGAAAATTGCCTACTGCTTCTTGATAAGGAAAGTCTTTGTTTAACTCTTCACTATCACTTCGTTTTATATCACTTAGGGCCGGTTTATCAATATCTAGTTAAGACGATTTATCTGTCAATTAAAATTGTAGCTGATAGATAACGTCGACGAGTCGTTTATCCACCCGTAGTTTAGGGTAATCTTATAGATAAATATGACATTTGGTTACCCACCAGATTGATGTGCTGGTTAAGGGTTTATCTATTAGATATTGTCAAAAAAATGTGAGCACAAGTTTGGTTGCTTGGTGAAAGGAAATGACAATAAAATTAAAATATAACGTCAAAAATAAATTAAGCTTATAATTGTGGTAATGGATATGCAAGAGAAAGAAAAGATCATCAAATTTTAGTACAGCAGAAAAGAACTTGCTGATGGATTTGGCAAACGAATATAAAAATGTTATAGAAAATAAATAATAATCTAGTAATTAAAAGAAAAAAATAATAATATAATCTAATACAGTATAATCTCGTCTCAATTTTAACCAAGATTGACAAAACTGTCCTTTTTTTAACCGAAATCTAACAAAAAAACGTGGTCGTCCAACTCCTCAAAGTGGTTTCGACTTTTGTCTTTCTTTTTTAATATATGGTTATCGTTTATAATTTAAGAGTTGGACAATATCCTCATCTTTATCGCTGTCTAATAAATATTCATGTAGGAATTCCATTATAAAAGAGATTTTCGAAAACAAAGCAATACCGAAAGCACACAGGAATGATAACCTCCAAAACGTCAGCTGTTTATATCAACTTCATAAACTAAAGTCAATTATTCAAATTTCACCAATTACGTTTCATTTCCGTTTCTAATGTTAACACTCAGGGGTACCATCTATGTTCTATCTCGTAGGTTGCTGCCTGTCGGGTAGAAAGTTGCTGGATAAACGGTTCACTGAGGTTATCTGTTAGGCAAGTTTATCCATGAGTTGCGTATCTAACAGATTTAACTCGATATTGATAAACCGGCTCTTAGACTTAATGAATTATAGTTTTTTTTACTGTTGTCAAGTTTATATTTTTCAAGCACTTGGTTTATATTGTCCTATTGATAAAGTTTTAACGAGACTTCATTTAATTTTATGTTTTGCTTTGCCCAAGAAATCTTTTTGGTTATTCCCACACTTTTAGTTTAAAATAGTTTTTCAGTTTCTTTATTAAATTGTCGTGTTATCTTTCGATATAATAAGTCCATCGTCTACGTATATGATTAATAAAATTGTTGTATCCTCATTTTTAAATACTCTTCCATGTTTCGATGCTTGTCTAAATCATGTAGATATCTTCTTTCAGTTCGCCATACAAAAAAGCCGTTTTTATATCAAATTTTATTATTTTACATACTTCTGCAGCTGCTGTTGCTAATATTGCTCTAATACAGCTCATACTTGCTACAGGACTAAATAACTCTTCTATGTGTTCTTTTGGTTGTTCAAAATCTAATCAACAAAAAAACCACTAATCTGGTTTTATAAATTCCGTCGTCCTTGATCTTGATCCCATTTATTGCTAGTTATCTTTGGTCCCTTAATTTCTTCGCTTTGTACTAATTCCCATATTTGATTCAACTTCAATGACTTCTCATATTGCACCTAACCACTTTTTTTTGTCTTCACCATTTATTGCTTCATCAAATGTCAAGTACACATAGCCCTCCAATTTTACAGGTGGTTTTCTTGTTCTTTGTCCCCTTCTATTATGATTTTCTTCGTTTTCCTTCTGTCTATCTTCTTCCACTTGCTCTTCCTGAGTTATTTCGTTTTCTTCTTCCATTTGTTCAGCAATTTCGTTCCTCATATGATTAACCTCTTGATCTAATCTTAATTCAACTTTCTCAGGTATATCTTCTTGTTTTTTAAAAACAACATCATTAGAAGCCATTTCACTCTAATACAGGTCAACTTATAGGCATAATCGATGAGTCATTCGCGTTTCTCGTGGTCAGGAGTATATTTTTAATGTAATATAATTAAAAATATTATAAAATTTTTGTAGTGTGTTGAGATAGTAATTAAATCTTGTCGATGCGGATTACATACCAAAGAAATTCCATGCAAAAAGAGATATTTATGTGAAACTAAATGTAAGCAAATGAAGGATTGTAATAAACATCCATGTAATCGAAAGGTAAATTAAATTATTATATTAATTCATTTTAATAAAATTAAATAATTTGTAGTGCTGCGATGGAAATTGTCCCCCTTGCGAAAAACCTTGTGGTAGAACGCTAAGTTGTGGAAACCATAAATGCGGTTCGGTTTGCCACAGAGGACCATGTTATCCATGCCAATTAACCGAAAAAGTTTTTTGTCGCTGTAACGAAACGTTTATTACTGTTTCTTGTGGACGAAAACACAAAACAAGACCGCCGAGATGCAACAAACTTTGCCAGTAATTAATTATTAAACCCCGCAATAATTTTTTGAGTAAATATAATTAAATTTATAGAATTCCACCTGATTGTCACCATGTGAAACGAAATGAACATAAATGTCATTTTGGTGATTGTCCGCCTTGTCGTCAAATTTGTGACAAACAACATAATTGCGGACATAAATGTCCTAAAATTTGTCATTCCGCCGTTTTGGTAACGCTAGAAAGTAAAAAAGCATCGATGCCTTGGGAACAAACCGCACCCCAAGTTGAAATGCAAGCGTTACCATGTCCAGATTGTAAAGTTCCTGTTCCAATAACGTGTTTAGGCGAGCACGAAACTGCTGATTGGCCATGTTCCATCGCGAGACCATCAAGTTGTGGGAGACCATGTGGAAGATTATTATCTTGTGGGAATCATACATGTACAAAATCTTGTCATACTATTTTAAATGCACCAGATAAAATTAATGTAAATATTAATTTAAAATTTTTTTTTAGTATATAAATTAAAATTTATTTTAGGCTGGTGAAGATTGCGAGAACTGTTACAATCCTTGTACTAAAACTCGTCCTGAGGGGTGCTCACACACATGTCCAAAACCATGTCATCCAGGAAATTGTCCACCTTGTAATCAAATGTTTAGAGTAAAATGTCATTGTGGTCTTAATCAACCTTACGTGGCTTGTAAAGAATGGATTATTGAGGAAAATAAGGAAAAGTTACAAAGTTGTGGTGATCAATGTCCTAATAATGTATGTAATTATTTTCTTTTGAGATTTGACTTTCCAGTATGACACACGACGCACTGAGTCTGCAATTGCCAATAGATATATTCGGGCAAAGATGGCGTTAGTTAGAAGTTATTCATCTTAAAATTTATTATTTACTTTTTTGTATTAAATCCATATAACTTAATTCAATTGTATCATAGGCTCAAATATTTGCAGAATAACTAACACTAGATCTCGAACTAGAAACAATCTGGTTTGGCCAATGCTAGTTCTAAGTTTAGTGTTAGTGCTACTCTTAGTCCAATAAGGATATATAACAATCTAGCGCTGAATAACAATTAAAACTAGAACTAACATTAGACCTATAACTAGAAAATCTGAAGACGCACAGCTAAAGAACGTAGTTCCAGTTTTATTACAGTAAAACTATACAGTGCTGTGCAAAATAGTAGGTGTGACCGAAGGACAGTAGAATCTAACAGGACTAGTAGCCCACTACGGGTTGGTTGCCCGCATTCTACGTCACACTATGTGCTACGCCCAGTTAACTGTCATAGAGTTCTATGCGTTTGCTGTGTCTTCTTAGAGGTTATATTATAGACATTTGATTTACTTTTGAAGTTAATATGAATACGACTACGATATACGAATAAAAATCCTCTAAAAATACACAGCAAGAACACAATAATAGCTGACTGGGCGTGGCGAATGGTGTGATGTAGTGTGCGGGCACGTTGTTCTGTTAGAGTCTACTCTCCTTGGGTGTGATCTGAATATAGTCTTTAAATGTATTTTAGTTGTAAGAGTAAAACGTTTGTAAGTTGCTTTTGATTGCCCTTTGCTAAAAAGGCTTTCTGCCACATTTATTACAAGATCAATGAAAAGAACTTTTTTATGACTAACCTCTTCATAAACATATGTACAATATGAACAGCAATCATGAAGAGCCTAAAAAAACTTTCTTCCACCATTTTGTGCTTCTTCGGTCCAAATCATATAATGCAATCATTTGATTAGATATTTATAGGTTGAAAGTACAAATAGGCTTAAAACGTGCCCTATTATGAGTTAAATATATTCCCCAAGTTTCAATTTCCTAACGTTTATGGTTTTTGAGAAAAAAAAATTAAACGAAAATTTTCCACCATTTTTTGGAGGGGTGTAGCTCCCTTAAAATTCACTAAAGAAGTTTGTTGCAGTCATTCAGATACATCCTGTATAATTTACCTTTAGACAATGTTTATAGAAACTGAGAAAAATGTATGTAAATATTATTACGTGGAAATAATCCTAAAAACAATAGCAGTACCAGCACACAAACACTCAACTGGTCTGTAAAAATCTGCTGATAGGAGGCACACGTGTTCGTACTCTAAACTAAAGCTGACTCACACATAAAGTGAAGCCAGAAGTACTAACAAATCCCATCCCAGTGTATTTTAAAGCGATATATTAGACTCCAGTATTTTTCAAATATTCTTTGGGATGTATATCCAAGCCCAAAAAATTAATTTTTAATACATTATTATAATTTTTATTATAAAAATGCGTAAATAGACTTGCACCTATTATTTCGCACAGCATTGTATAACAACCTAACACTGAATAACAACTTTAACTAGAACTAACATTAGAACTAGAAATATCTAGAACAGAAGTACGTCTCTTAAGACGGTTAAACCCGAATGTTTCTTGTTCAAGGTTTAGTGTTAGTTCTATTTTTTATTGTTATTCAGCATATCTGAAGACGTACGACTAAACAGGCTTTTATTTCCCTGTTTTATACAGGTGTCCCGAAACTCAACATCAAGCGGGTACCGGGTGAGACGCTAACCCATACCTGTTCTGGTAAAAATAAGAAAAAATTCTATGTCTCTTAGTTAAGTGGTAATAGACATATTTTTGAAAATGTTAAAAATCGTTCCCGTACATCATATCTTTAGGTACTACGGTCAGAAATGTTCGCAATTTAATAGTAATTTTTTTAATAATGTATTCCTCATGAACCATGCTACTATAGCAGTCACAAATCGAACCACAAAAGTCGTTAGTTTTGCAAGAAAAAGTATCAGTTTGATTGAGTTAAGGTTGAAAGTATGAATACAAAAGTTTTAAACAACGTGTTTTTTGCAGAAAAACAGGCAATAATATCTTTTATGATAAGAATAATGGCAAGTGTTGTACCATTTTGGAAACTTGACTAATCAGGCCATCTTTTAAAATTACTTGCCAAGGATGTTGTACTACTCCTTTTTTTAGAAATCGTGTGTCAAACTTGATAAACAAATTCTTTCAACCTTAACTCAATTAAATTAATATATTTTTTTGCAAAACTAACGATTTTTGTTGTTTAATTTGTGACTTCTACAGTAGCATGGTTTATAAGAATACATTATTAAAAAAATCACTATTAAATTGCGAACATTTCTGACTGTAGTACCTAAAGATATGATGTACAGGATGGTTAAAATTAGAAAAAAAGTAGCTTACATGTCATGATCTCGTTTTTCGAGAAACTGCTAATGCCGAAAACATCATAGCGCTATCGCTTTTATTTTTCCCTTAGAGGCCAAAATTGAAAATATCGTAAAACCAGCAAGTGCAATTATCTTCGTTATTATTCTAGGTGGAGTATTATAACTAAGACATTATATGGACACTTTTTTACAGAGAATTTGATGACGATTTGATTTTGAGATATGACAATTTTAATTTTTTTAAATGGACTATTTCTTATTGTTTTAGAATAAAGCTAAAAATTAACTTTTTTTATAAAATTTCGTCGACGAAATTAAATTTACAGTTTCCTGTAAGTTACGGGGCGGTAGGTAAAATCTAAAAAGTTAACAATTAAATAAGAAAATAACTTCTGGTATTTAAAAACAAATAATTTTTTAATATGTAACATTCTAACATGTCAAACTTTTCAAAATTTTCGTAAATCATCTTAAAAACAGGATTTTTAAAGTGACACTTCAGAAAATTTTTGAATACAAACAATGTTGCTATGTTTATTTGAATTTTAAAAAAACATATGAGCGCCATCTATCAATAATTTATTAAGTCATTTAATAATAATATTAAATATTAATAAAAAATGTGAAATAACGCAATCTATTCCAACTTATGTGTAAAACATATATAAATTAAATAGTTCAACAAATTATATTTGTTTCAAATATTAGAAATAATGTTTTTTTAATTTTTAGTTATAGTACCGTAATTTACAGGAAACTGTAAATTTAATTTATTCTTCTAAAAGAAAAGTTTATTTTTAGCCTTATTCTAAAACAATAAGAAATAGACCTGTCAAACCCTATATTTTTGTAATCAGAAAAAAATAACGAATTTAATAAGCGAATAATCAGTGGTTAATATCTCAAAACCGAAAAAAATTTTTTGACTTCGTCATCAAATTCTTTCTAAAAAAGTGTCCATATAATGTCTTAGTTATAATACTCCACCTATAATAATAACCAAGATAATTGCACTTGCTGGTTTTACGATATTTTCAATGTTGGCCTCTATAAGGTTTTCGGCATTGGCAGTTTCTCGAAAAACGAGATCATGACATGTAAGTTACTTTTTTTCTAACTTTTATAGTTTCGGAGTTAGGGTATTCGGACATCGAATTTGAACCACCCTGTACAGGACCGATATTTAACGTTTTCAAAAATATGTCTATTACTACTTAACTAAGAGACATGGAATTTTGTTTTCATTTTTACCAGAACAGGTATGGGTTGGCCTCTCACCCGGTGCCCGCTTGACGTTGAGTTTCGGGACAGCTGTATATTCAAAATTTCACAAATATTAATATTTATTAAAATAATTGTTTATTATAGCCTGTCAAAAATATCGAATGTTTGTATTCGTTTACATATATTATTGTTATGTGAAACAGTTAGCCACTATACTCTGTTTTTAAACCAGGAGGAGTAAACGCGAAAGTCAGATTTACACTAGGAAAAATCACCAGAAAATATCACTAGATATTTTGGCGGTAAATTTAAATTAGTAATTATTATTTATTTATTTACTTATTATTCTATTTATTTTCGTTTGTTGTCGACAACACTAAACATACAAATTAACATTAAAATTGTGAGTGTATTTTTTATTTACATTTCATTTATTTCAAAATATAATAAAGAAGGGTTTAAGAACACAAATTTTACAATAATGACCCGAAACTGACGAATTGTCAATAACCTAACCTTCAAATTCAAAATCAAAATTCAAAATTGCCTGTGTGTGAACCTTCCTCGCATTCAACCAATCACGTGCAAGGTCAATCGGGTGACAAATTTAAAATACTCCTCCTGGTTTAAAAACAGAGTATAAAAGATTAAAGAAATTTAAATTGCACGGATTGATAGGTTAAATATTTTTATAATTTGATTTTTAGTATCCTTGCGGTCATCGTTGTCGTTCAAATTGTCATCCAGGTCCTTGCGTTAACAGCGAATTGTGCAAGAAAAAAATTAAAGTAACCTGTCCATGTAAACGAATTAAAAAGGAATTTTCTTGCGAGAATGTTCGAAATGGTTCCGCCGTGGTTAATTGCGACGACGTTTGTAATGAGAAGAAAGCCGAAGCTGAGCAGTTAAAAGCGACGGAAATCGAGCAAATGAAAAAAGAGGAAGCTATAAAAAATCGAAAAGAATTAGAAAAATACGAGAAAATGTTTCATGGGAAAAAGAAGTATAAAGAAAAAAAGGTGCGAAATGAAATCGATGAAAGAGGATTTTTTAGTCGATTTGGGATTCATATTTTTGGGGTTTTAGTAGGTTTAATTGCGTGTTTTTATATGTTTGTAATATTAAAATAAATTAATTTATTTTAAAATTATATTTATTTAAAACTTAATTAAAGTTTTATTTGATCCCTTTTAACAGATTCTTCCTCATAATCTATATTAATTCCATTATCACAGCCACTTTTGCATTCGCCAAATTTTTGGCCAGTTAAAATCTGAGCTTATGATGCAAATAAAGTTAATAGTGTACCAAATAATTAATTAATATTTACCTGTGAATGTACTAATGTTGTATCCAGACAATATAAATGCTTAAGATATACAATGTGAATGTGTTGTTCCTATGATGGAGAAAAATACTCCCCCAAACCTGATTGAACCTGCCTTTTTCTTATAATCTCTTTAAAATGACTTAAACATTTATCTTCAACCATGTCACATATTTTGTTAACATCAGTTTTATTGGGGTGCCATTTTTTAGCTAAAGACTGAAACTCATCCCAGTAATGTATCAATTTTTCAAGGTCATCTGTTGATATAGTTTCTATTTGATTTTGTTCATCTTCCTCTGATGATGAATAGTCTTGTTCTTTTTTAACTTCTAAAATAAGTATACTATTAAGAATGAGTTTACAGTTTGTTAGGGTTTGAAATATCTTTGTGGAAAGTTTTTTTATTAAAAGATTGAGATACCTGTTATGAATGTTGATGCTAGTGATATAGGAGGTTCTATGATTATGTGTTCAAAACTGTTAGGCTTGTTGATTGATAATGCTAAAAAAATTAAATATTTTTGAAAATGATTACCAGATTTAATTACTTACGTAATGTCTCTGATGGTGAAGTCATTGAAGGTGAAAGACGCAACTTTTTACTTAGTGGTACATCATCTTCATCCAAAGTGGTGTCCAAAGGATCAATTTCATTAGAAATAGATAAATCAATCGCCTCTTGAGTTGAATCACACAATATTTAATACAACATTTTAATGAATACATGCAAAATTACCTGGTAAATACAATGAAGGTACACAAGTTTTTGTTAAATACATATTTGTAGTTCTATCACTATCAGTAAAATGCCTATGACAAACTCTGTAGGATCTGTACACTCTATTGGGATCTAATGTGAGTAATTTTAGATTTCCAGTAGCTTTAACCCATTCATGATATCTCTCTGACTGCTTTGTTGGATTTGGAAATAAGTGTCGACTAGATTTTTTGTCCTTACACCCAGAAACTGAACATGGATGGTACCCAGCCATAACTACCAAAAAATTCTCCTTGTTTAAGGTTATTTCTAAATAATTTTGTTAGATTTGGATAGATCTGCTTGATGGACTTTTGGAACTAAAATGGTGATTGTAAACTTTCTCATAATAAATTTGTAATAAATCCTTCCATCCACAGGTTGATATAAAATTAATTTTTTTAAATCCAGTGAGTACTTTTTGCTGAGATTAATGAATGTAAATTATTAAAAATTCAATTCGGCGTACTCTAGAAGGTGTTTTAAAAGAAATCGTAGATATTTTAATTAATATTGAGTAAATAGGTTATGTGTACATAACCTAATCTTAACAGGTAGTTACAGCTATCTATATGTTAACATAAAAATGAATATGTTAAAAAAACATACATTTTAACACCTACAAAATAATTCCTCGGTGTGCTATTTGCGTTTCATCAGTTCAAAAAGGGATTTGAGATATTTAAGTAATTTGTTATGATGAAGAAATGTGTCAGTGAGTATGCAACCAGCAGGGTTTTGTTCGAAAATTACAGCGATCTGTAATCGCTTTGTTGAATTTCTTAAAAAATTATTTATACTTTTTGTATTTAATTTAAACATTTAACGAATAAATCATTTATTAATTTATGGATTTACTTATAAATAAGATATTTAAATAAAACTTATTTAACCAACAGTGATCACGTGATGTGTTATTATAACGCCATCTTGTTGATTATTAACCAACAAAATTTGAATTTTAAATTTATTAATTTCAACTAATTAATATCTAATTATTTAATGCTATATTACAGAAGAATAAAATTTTCTAATTGAAAAACGTTGTATATACACATATTACATAAATAACACAATACAATTGATATCACGTATGTGACTGATTGTATGTCGAAATCCCCCCGTAAGAGGGCACTAGCGTCTATACTGAAATAATTTAATTAAACTAACAATTTTGTTATTAATAGTGGGAATGATAAGAGATAGCAATAACAATTATTACCAGTATCATTCGTTTAATTTAAAGAGTATAGATTCCAATTCGTGTTATATTTTTAAATTTGCCGCTAACTTCTATAATTTTTAAAATTATAAATTTGAAGTTTGTTCAGAATGACAGATGAAAATGTCGTTTTAAAGTGTTTTTTCGGTAAGAGTATAATAAAGTAGATTATAAGTTAGTAGAAGTTAGATTATAATTGACATTATACTTTGTTTCAGCTAACGTCATAACTGGTTGGAAGCTCGTCAAATGTAATCTCACATGTCATATTTATGATGCAGTGATATTCAAATGTGTGGCATTATTTGACACGTGTAATTGCATCTGAGGAATTTTCAACTAGTCGGAACTTTAATTGGAGTCACATAGTGGCTCCAAACAATTTCCAAACAGTTATTCTGTGGTTGGAGCTTTTATATATGTATAAAACCCAATCCAATCTGTATAATTTCAAAATATCCCCAAGAGATGGCGCCACATGCATTCAATTTTTAGTATGAGATTTTTTTTTAGAGTTGCATTTCTACGAAGCTATTTTTTATGGTCTAGTGTTAGTTCTAGGTTTACACTATGACTAGAACTGACACAAGACTTAGAACAAGAATCATTCGGGTTTAGCCGCCTTGAGAGACGTGGGGCTAAACCCCAATGTTTCCAGATCTAGGTCTAGTGTTAGTTCTAGTTTTGCACTATCACTAGAACTAACACAAGACCTAGAACTAGAATCATTCGGGTTTAGCGTGCGATTAGATCCGAATGTTTTTAGTTCTAGGTCTAGTGTTAGTTCTAGTTTTAATTGTTATGCAGCGCTAGATTGTTGTATATTTTTGTTGAACTAGAAGTAGAACTAACACCAGTGCCTGTTCGTGGCACTGACTACCAGTCTTTGTTGCAACGTCATCATTTTTCTTCGCTTGGCACTCGAAGGGACGCTAGATTTATTATAAAACTGGTGAGTGGTGAGACTTAGGTAATTGGTTATTCTCTTGCATTAACTTCAGTGTACCCAGCCACGCTACCCGATACAGCTGTGTCTTCTATTTGAAGAATAGTAGAACCAACGTGCAGGTTAGCGGTCTGCTACAAAGAATGTGCAGGCTTGTAAACCTGAAAGGGTACTTTGTAAAGGGTACTTATAAAGATATATTATTATTATTATTATTACTAGGCCAACAACTAGAATTATTCGGGTTTAGCCGTACGTCTTTTAAGACGGCTAAACCCAAATGTTTCTAGTTCTAGGACTAATGTTAGTTCTAGTGATAGTGAAAGTGTAAAACTAGAACACTATACCTTCTTCTCACTATACGTTCTTCTTCTCACTATACGTTCTTCTTCTCACTTCTTCATTTCGTATTCTCAGGGACAACCCCAACATGAATCTCTCCTGTTTTCTTACAGATGTCTTCGTAGGTGATAGTGTTTTAGCCCCGTATGTTAAGACCGGGAGCACATATTGGTTGAAAACTTTCCGTTTCATGCTAATGTGGATATTCGTCTTAAATATGCCCGCAGTTTTCCAAATTTGCCCGCAATATGCCCAACTTAAGGTTATTCTTCTTGAGAGCTCGCACGTCTGATTGTCTTTACCAATCCGGACTTTGTGGCTAAGGTAAATGGATTTCTCAGTGATTTCGATGTTCTCGTTTTCCACCTTCACAAGTTCGCCAGGTACTACATCTGTTATCATTTTTGTTTTGTTGTAGTTTATTTTCAGTTCTACTTTGCCTTCTTGCGTTGCCTGTTGTAGTAGCTCTTCTAAGATTTTTCGGACTTCTTGCAGGTCTTCTTATATTAAGACTATATCAGTTAAGAATAATACTTGTAAACTAAGTAAAAAACTTCATTTATTGAACTAATTGGTTTTTAACAATATACAAACTAGAAAACCAAAATATTATTCAACTTTACATCACAACTTATTTGATACAATTAAATTCAGATATCCAACTTATAAAGTGCTATTACCTTTGGCATTTATCACCGCCTTTAGTCGATTCGATCAGTTTTTTGGTTACTTGTGGCATAATATTCTGCCATTCTAGACGGCTAAATCCGAATGATTCTAGTTGTACGTCTTGTGTTAGTTCTAATGATAGTGCTGGTGCAATACTAGAACTAACACTAGACCAAGAACTAGAAATATTCGGATTTAGCCACACGTCTCTCAAGACGGCTAAACCCGAATGATTCTAGTTTTAGGGCTTGTGTTAGTTTTGATGATAGTGTTACTGCAATACTAAAACTAACTCTAGACCGAGAATTAGAAACATTTGGATTTAGCTGCACGTCTCTCAAGACGGCTAAACCCGAATGATTCTAGTTCTAGGTCTTGTGTTAGTTTTAGTGATAGTGCTACTGCAGTACTAGAACTATCACTAGATTTAGAACTAGAAACATTCGGATTTAGCCGCACGTCTTTCAAGACGGCTAAACCCGAATGATTCTAGTTCTAGGTCTTGTGTTAGTTCTAGTGATAGTGCTAGTGCAAAACTAGAACTAACACTAGACCTAGAACTAGAAACATTCGGATTTAGCCGCACGTCTCTCAAGACGGCTAAACCCGAATGATTCTAGTTCTAGGTCTTGTGTTAGTTCTAGTGATAGTGCTAGTGCAATACTAGAACTAACACTATATCGAGAAGTAGAAACATTCGGATTTAGCCACACGTCTTTCAAGACGGCTAAACCCGAAGGATTCTAGTTCTAGGTCTTATGTTAGTTCTAGTGATAGTGGTAGTGTAATACAAGAACCAATACTAGACTAGGACTAGAAACATTCGGATTTAGCTGCACGTGTCTCAAGTTGGGTAAACTCCAATGATTCTAGTTCTAGGTCTTGTGTTAGTTCTAGTGATAGTGCTAATGTAAAACTAGAACTAACACTAGACCAAGAACTAGAAACATTCAGGTTTAGCCGCACATCTCTCATGACGGCTAAACCCGAATGATTCTAGTTCTAGGTCTTGTGTTAGTTCTAGTTTTGGTTCAATAAAAATATGCAACATGGTGGTACTTTATGTTAACTAGCGCTGCCTACCACTGTCACTAGAACTGACACTAGCCCTACGATTAGAAATTTTCAGACATGTTGCATGTTATGTGGGACAAAGTAATCTCTGGTTTCTATGGAAATATATTTTTGAATATTTCATTTTAAGTAAAATTCAGTGTATATCATATAACTAAGTGTTGAATAAACCGTATCAAATAAGCTGTGAGCTTGTGTAGCTCAAACTTCAAAATGATACTTTTTTAACATAAAATCATTGATTCATCAACATCAATCTCATTTTTAATCTGAAACCTTTCTATTACAACATCCCTTAATTCTCTTCTATTGCAATGATGCGTGCTTTTCAGGTGTGCTTTAACTCTGGCTTTAAATTTCGCTGCAAAATGACAAGTGTAAAACGGACATAGATATTTCGGTCCAAAATAGTGTCTGCGAGAGTTATGAGCTACCATTTGATTTTTAGTTCTCGAAACGAAATCGCATCCTTCCACTGTGCAATTGAAGATGTGTTGCTTCTTGTGCGCATCCAAAGTTCTCTTGCTTTTATATTTACGTGGGCACAAATCGCAATGAAAAAAAGTGCTTTGCATCAAATCTAAAAGCAAAAAATAAATTTGTTAATAATTAAGAATATTTTGGGCATTTATTATTAATATAATTATTATTGAGTTAAGGGTTGGTTTTTAATATAACACATTTGTGCACCTTACACGTTTATTTAAATTTAATATTAATTATAACTATAATAGTAAAATTAACCCAAATTTCTATTTAATTATTAAGTTTCATTTTTAATAATGTTGTAATACAATTAATTAAAAAATAATTAAATTTTTTTAAATTAATTCAAATTTTTAAGAATGTTCTGTTTTAAACATAATCATTTCGTTTTCGTTATAAAAATTTGAAATGATTGTTTCGTTAACTTCAACCTCTTCTTTCACCTCAAACAACTCGATATTGGCTTCGCGTAGTTGCCATTTTTTCCAATGGTGCAGGTTTCTCAAGTGTAATTTGACGTTGGTTTTATATTTCCCTTGAAAATTGCAGTTGTACATTGGACATTGATATTTTGGTCTCCAGATGTGCGTGTTGGCGATGTGCGCTCTCATTTTTTGTTTCGTTGGGGAACTGAAATCGCATCCTTCCACTTCGCAAAAATATTTGTGATTCCTCTGGTGTGTGATTAAAGATGTCTTGCTTTTAAACTTACGTTGGCATATGGTGCATTGAAAGGGTGTATCGTCAATCGGCTGATCTGCAAACAAAAAAATAATAAACTATAGTGCATCAAACATTTAGAATTTTATTCTTGTTTGGTAGTAGTATTATATTGAGTGTATTATTTATATCATACTCGTTGGCAGGAAATTTAGTATACTTATTTACAAATCTTCCTTATCCGTTCTGCTATATTAGGTGTACGATGATTTAATATTTATTATTAATTATAAAAATTATTTTATTCTACAACTTTTTACATGTTGTTTTGAAT